CATAAAAGCATTTCCAGATAAATAATATCCAACATGCAAAGGGCCTGGTTGCTATTTTAATACTTTTGTGCCCGAGGTTTTCAATACTATTCAAAGATTTCTAGTAGAAACCTCTTCAATTTTAAAGAGATGGAGTGAGTGGGCAAAATGAGTTTCTTTGAAACCCATCTATTCTTAACACTAAGTACTGCTCCTCTCCCTTTTTTATGTTATACATGTAGTAAAGCCCAAATTAAATTGAAGGTTTAATTTCATTTGGGGACAGACACTGAACATAGAGGCCTGATGATCCTGACTCCACAGTCACCACATGGCCGACAGTGTGAGCTAGGGAAACAGTGCGGGATATAATTCATCTCTTACCTCCTTGATAACCCGGTCAAAGGAAGATGAGACTTCTTTCTGTACATTTCCAGGTCCTAACTCCTGGAAATCAAAATCAAAGAAGACAGACATCTTGATGGTTTTAAATAGAACTGTCCGAACCTGTGGCCACCCCACATGCCAACACTTGCTGAGATGAAAGAGAAACTGACTGCTTGGCTTTGCTCCTAAAGAGGCCCAAAGAGCAATAATAACTTGCAAGGGAAAGGTGCTCATGCTTAGAAATCAGCTCCAACGTACCTCACCCTTGTCACTCTCCTGGTAATGCTACAGAAGAAAAGAAAAAGGATGGTTAGAGCTATTCCGATGTCATGAAAGAAGACATAAAATGAAAACTCTGCTGGCAGAGAGTAAAATTAAAATAGCTTTAGCTTTTTTTTCCCTGCAAATCTCCGTTAACTTCTATTCCTAATTAATCAACTGGAAATAAGTGTCTCCAAAATGACCCTGTTGCTAAGTTTAACGAACGTATTGGTCAGCTGGAGGAACAAGCAAATGCTCATGAAAATGCCTATTTAAAAAAAGAAAAAGAAAACAAAAAAGAAAATCTAAGAACATTATTTACTAAACACGTTTCACAGAAAGTTAAGTTAGTAGAGATGTAGCCTAAAGTTTCCACTCTTCGCATGGAAAAAGCAGAACCAATATCAAATTAGGACAAGACTCTTTTCTTCACTGCATAAAACAAAAGAACTGGTGTTATGCCTGAATAGCTAAAATCACCTCACTTTTCCTTTCGTATCTGTTTTCCAAAACAAGCGAGAGAAAAGATTTTTTTTCTCCCCTAGAGAAGAGACCATGAATACTGCCAGAGCCCAGACTACACTGGGAAGATATATTATTTGTGCGCTATTTTAGAAACAGAACGTGGACTAGGTGAAAATAAAAGAATCAGACAATTGAGCTACTTACTGCATAATGACCAGTTTTATTATTTTTTAGCCATACCAAATTTAAAAAATAGACAACACTTTCTTTTGTAAAATGAATTATGCTTTAAAAAAAAAAATCACAGACAAGAGAACAAATGTCAAAATTAGGCAAAGTGGCCAAGTATGGTAGCTCATGCCTATAATCCTAGCTACTTGGGAGGCTGAGGCAGGAGGATTGCTTAAGGCCAGGAGTACAAGTCCAGCATGGGCAACACAGTGAGAGCTCGCCTCATCTTTTAAAAAATTAAATTAATAAAGATTAAGCAAATTGATGTCTTTTGGCCAAATTTCAAGTCCTTGGTGAGAATTAATTCTACTAGTTTCAGGCCTCTTTAAAAATTCTCACTCACGTCTAGCCTTTGTTTTTTACTCCATTGATAAAATTGTCTACCTGTCTCTTCTACATTATTCTGAACATATTTCAATTTAATTCTTGTTCAGATATACAGAACTCTTTCTTGTAAAGGTTAAAATTTTCTCGGCCCTGAATATGTCTTTCTTTTTGACTGTATATGCAGATTTTGATACCAAGTATAGTACCAACACCATTGTATTTCACTGGGCTACATCTGAAATATATTCAGGCTACCTGGTTACCTCAACATAGCCTTACTTTTCCACTACATAAAGGAAGTTGGTCTCAAGCAGTAATTTTACTTTTGCTCTAAGTCTATACATAAACCTCTTTGACTAGATGATAACTGCCTTTCCATATGTAAATCTTACTAAGGTAACAACAACACTTTCACTGAACCCAGAGTAGAATATGGTTGGAAAAGAGTAGTATCAATCACCAACATGGGCCCATTTAGACTTCATCACTCTGACCGACAGCCCACCTGAAATGGTCCTTTTAGATTCAGTCCACAGGGTTGAAAATAACAAGTATTAAAAATAACAAAATGACTGATGGGAGACACAGTTTCCATGTGAAGAGCTGGCCGAGAAACCTCTCCAATTTGAATCAATGAAGGCTGAAGGGAATTTAAAATCCAAGCCAATTAGGTCATGAAATTGTTTACAAAATCAAGACTTTTGCTGGAATAGAGAAGAAGACTAAAAAAAAAAATCATGATTTGCTCATCAGATGTTAGATGTTAAAACGTTAGAATTGGGGGCTATGTTAAAGGCTTAAAAAGTACATGAATCTGGGAGGCCGAGGCGGGCGGATTGTTTGAGCTCAGGAGTT